CGGGGCCGGGGCCGGGGCCGGGGCCGGGGCCGGGGCNGAATTTGAGTATATGAACTGTCTACACACAGATCATGCGCATGTATGTTGAAGTAGTTTCGCCAGGTAAAAGTGTTGTTAAAGTGAGATTAATCAACTACAAATCGTATTGGTACAGTATATATAAGGAAACATATACCTTTAAGTGTTTGTTGAATAAAGGTTTTCTCGGCGTTTGGATATATATACTAACCATATTATACAGCTGCAGGGCCGCCCTGTATTTGTCCCTTTCCAGGAGACCATCTCCATCCTGTCGGTATAAGTCAGATAACACTTCCTTCCGTCTCCGGTTGAATTGGCCACTTCCGGCTGCCTCTGTCGATCTAGACATCATAAAATTCCTTAGAGAAACCAACACAGGAATTGAATTTCCTTTTCTAATCACTCAAAATCGGCTAATTGTCGCGATTTCACTGAATTCAATGCCGTTTAAGAAAATCGTTATATTTTTTTATCTTTTCGTCGTCCGATATTCCCTCTGTAAGCCAAAGCACTGTCTCCAATTGTCATCCATTCTGAATTCTTTTGTATTCCCCAACAGAGTTGCCTATTATGTTTTAAAAAAATAAATCAAGAAACTACATTTTTAAATATATCACGCCGTCTTAGACGCCAACATAAATCACTATCACAACAATTCGTATTTTAAACACAATGACTAACCCTTTCAAATGTAATTTACAAAACTTCTAAATCCATGCTAGAGAATTGATAAATATTCAAAACCCGTGTACATTCCACACTCGTGTTTAAATATGAAGTATATTCCAAATCCAGATATTATTTAATCTCGTGACTTAGGACCTCGCATTAACTGTTTTTATCCCCCGGGTCCGGTCACGGATTAATCCCTAGGATATGGTAAGACACAGAACCGTACCGAATACACTAAGACAAATAAGCTTAACAGTATATGCCTGTAAAGTTTTATCCTATTTTCTTCAAATCCTGCTTACTCGCAGCATTGTCAACCAAAATCAATCGAACACCCTGAAAAAACACCATTGAAAAATGTCAAAATTTCCTATATTTCAATTATTTTTCATATCAGCCTATATTAAACATAAACTAATTTTCAAAATGTGTGTTTTAAGACAGTAAATAACAAGTAAATTGTCTATATTAAGTGATGATCTAGACCCACAATGATCGCCTTGAATTTATAGCGGGTCATATGTCCGTTTGTTTTTGCGTCATGTCGTTTAGAGATTAATGTTAGCCTGTATCGGGGATATCGGATCCCTGTTAATAGTGACACGTGATACGTATATAGGTATGGTTTAATGGTATCATCTGTTGATTGTTCGAGATAGCAAACTTCGAGAACAAAACAATCACGTGATTGAACAGCTGTGGTTATATGTACACTACACACGCACGCCCTGCAGTTCACTTAATTACGCGTATCAATTATACAGATTATATCGTGTTTGATTATTTTGATTGATTAAGTCGGTAATTAATATTATCTACCATTTTTACTTCGGTAGCATAGATAATATTATCAACCAATACTATCACAGAAAACCCTCCATTTTTAAATTAATACAATTACTTAGTATAAATGATGTTAGAGAGCTGTCCAATCTAGGTAAATATTTATATTTAGCATTTTAGAGGCGTTAATTTAAGGTTTATGTATTATGGTGTTTCATAACTGTAATGTGTTAATTAAGTATTGTTATATACACATTATTGAACAGTGTTTTATGTATACTGTGACGTCACTCTCCTGTCTATTCTAATATTCTAATGTTTAGAAAATTGGTATGGCAGATGACTGGGGCTCACTTGTTGGGTTGTTGTAGTCTACGTCGGTCATGATTCCATTCTTAAGCAGAGTTACGGCCCCTCTTCAATCGAAAATGTTGACATTGACAGAACTTTATGTCTTTTGTTAAGGGGACCTCATGCAGGTTTATGATAAAACATTATATATATATAATGCAGTGCAGGTGGCTCTAGACATCACTGTTATTGTGACCTAAACTTAAATAACATGCGTCCCTGTACCTGACGCTGTACATGTGGATACCTATATTATTTAGATATATGTAAATGATAAATCGGCTACGTCACAATGTCCATGAGCTGAAAATGTACCATTTGTAACCGTTACCATTCAATCATGTATGTTGGTTATACTGCACAAAGGCATGTATGCCTATTGCTTAATAAAGATTATCTATAAGCCTAAAGGCTTTTGGTTAATAAAGAATGAATTAATGAAACCCTTTACATACATTACAATGAGTAAGGTCAATCCCGTTAATAAAGTAATGAAATTCAACCATTGGAGCTTGAGGGTATTTATAATATAATCAAATATGATATCAAATATGATATAAACATTTTCGTATATATATGTATTGCATATTATTAAACATGATACATCGATGTAAAAAAACAAAACAAACAAAATCTAAAACCAAATATTTACTTACTTTACAATATACTTTTCATCCGTTCTATAACTTAAAATAGCCGATATTATCCGGATACTTTGGTTTGTGTGTGTAAGAGAACCTCGTTAGTCTGACACCTGGGTTTGTGTGTATAACATAACCTTGTTAGTCCGGACTCTTTGTGTGTAAGAGAACCTCATTAGTCTGACACTCTAGTTAGTGTGTATAATAGAACCTTGTTAGTCTGGATACTTTGGTTTGTGTGTATAACATAACCTTGTTAGTCAGACACTTCGGTTTGTGTGTATAACAGAACCTGGTTAATCCGGACACATTGTGTTGTGTGTATAACATAACTTTGTTAGTCTGACACTTTGGTTTGTGTGTATAATGCAACCTTGTTAGTCAGGACACTTTGGTTTGTGTGTATAACAGAACCTCGTTAGTCTGACACTTTGTTTTGTTTGTATAACGTAACCTTGTTAGTCTGGACACCTTGGTTTGTGTATATAACGTAACCTTTTTAGTCCGGACACTTTGCATGGTTTGTGTGTATAACAGAACATCGTTAGTCCGGACACTTCGATCAGTCCATTAAGTAACTCGTGTTAAAAAATCCATTTCGTATTTACTTCGGGCCATTAATAGTCCACTTTTATTTTTGTGATTCAAGGAAACATTTATTAGTTTGGAAAAGTATATGTCATTGAAAAAAATCGGAATATGTATCAAATAGAAGCATGTACAATACATGTTTTAACAATTATATTTATGTGTTCAGCAGAACCTCGCTAGTCCGGACAGTGTGCTTTGTGTACAAAGAAGACCATCGAGTGTCGACACGAGGAAACCATTCCTAGTTCTGACACTAAGGCGATAAGAACCTGCTTAGTCTGGACACTTGCTCCTGTAGATAGTGGAACCTCGTCCTAACAGTTGGATTAGTCCGGAGTCCTTCGTTTCCATTATTATCAATGCATTTCGTTATTACGGGTATTTTGATTTTTGCGTAAGTTGTATCATAATTTATCCGCACATTGTTCGGAGTCTGTAGCTAAGAGATGCCGGGTTGTTGTAACCAGGAAAGCGCAGCTGATGAACCACGAAATGGATTGTTGGAAGTGAAAGATGGATCACTGTAGCCAAGAGATTGATTATATAACCAGGAAATGGATTGATGTAGATTTGGGCAACGTAAGCGGGGAGGGGGTAGCTATGTGACATGGGCGTCCATGCATTTAAGTTGATGTTTACAGGAGAAGATATATGTGTGAGACTAGGAAGGGACAACTTTTTCTCTTACCCTGGACAGGGATATCCACCATTTTACCTGTGTGAGATTTTCTTTTCTCTTACCCTGGACAGGGATATCCACCATTTTACCGGTGTGAGATTTTCTTTTCTCTTACCCTGGACAGGGATATCCACCATTTTACCGGTGTGAGATTTTCTTTTCTCTTACCCTGGACAGGGATATCCACCATTTTACCGGTGTGAGATTTTCTTTTCTCTTACCCTGGACAGGGATATCCACCATTTTACCGGTGTGAGATTTTCTTTTCTCTTACCCTGGACAGGGATATCCACCATTTTACCGGTGTGAGATTTTCTTTTCTCTTACCCTGGACAGGGATATCCACCATTTTACCGGTGTGAGATTTTCTTTTCTCTTACCCTGGACAGGGATATCCACCATTTTACCGGTGTGAGATTTTCTTTTCTCTTACCCTGGACAGGGATATCCACCATTTTACCGGTGTGAGATTTTCTTTTCTCTTACCCTGGACAGGGATATCCACCATTTTACCGGTGTGAGATTTTCTTTTCTCTTACCCTGGAAGGGATATCCACCATTTTACCGGTGAGATTTTCTTATCTCATCCTAGGGTTAAGACAAGCTACACGTGTTCTTTGCACGTTCTCAACAAATGTATGACGTCATAGTAACAATACCATGACGTCACGGCAACAATACAATGACGTCACGTCGACAATTCAGTCGCATCACATCAACATTGTCTTGCATTGGTGTAACGTCTATATAAAATACAAGGGAAAACAGGGTAAGAGAAAAATAATAACTCACCCCCTAATTGGTAGTGAGACAGTGTGATCTCAACCCTCGGGGTAAGATTACCCTGTCTCACCCTCAAGGGGGTGAAAGATTCTATTAAACTTCGTTGTCAAGATCGATTTATATTACGAAGGAGTGGATTAGTATTAGTAGGGTCGGGTAATTCTCACATGAACATGGATTAATCTATCAATGTAAGTAAAAGGTGGATCCTTTTCATCAGATATTGGATGTGTGCTTTATCAAAGTGGATTTTTGTAATCAAAATTGTTATCAGTTTTTTTTTGTTTTTTTTTTTATTAAACTTTATATAATATATTGATGTTGAAAAACACCTCTTTTTCGAGGTGAATTTTCTTTAAAGATGCATACGATTTGAAGGTCAAATGACAAGGACATCAGATTATGAGGATCATATAATAACAGGGTCAGGATCCACAACAGCTGTGGTCATAGGACAAAAAAAACAATAACTCCATTCCTTAACTTAAAACAAATTTAATTTATAATATGTCATTTTCGATATTGTCCTTCTTAATTAATTCAGTCACAAAAATGAATCCAAACGTCAAATTTGTTGTATAAATATGTCAGTTAGATGACATCACTGAGGACAGTACAGTAAAACCTCATTAATTATACAGTGTCACTATTTGCCCATTAAAAAATTGGTATTTTAAAAGAGTTTGGCATTTTATTCAGGAAGACATTAATTATTTGATAAAAAAAAAAAAAAGAAGAATCGGATATTAACATACCATGTTGGCGGTATTGGTAAGTAAGATGGCAAATAATACACACGAAGTCATTATAACAAGGTTTTACTGTATAAATACAGTATACAGTCAACTTCATGATATTCTTATCCATTTGGCACATTGGTAAAATTATATCATAAAAATATGGTTTAAAAAATAAAATCAACAATGAAATTTTCTTGATTATTCTCTCTCTCTCCCCTCCAAAAATAAGAGAGAACCATGTTAGCAAACTGACTAGTTTTCCTTTGGCTCACATCAGATATTTCTGATTAATGATATACTTAACTTGCACAGATGTTAAAAAATGAAATTGTGTTGTTCTACTTTAAATCAATTCCCTTCTCAAAAAACTGAAATTTATATATTTTTGCACACTGATGTTGATATCCTAAAAAGAAGATTCAAGTTTGAAAGACTTGCTCAGAAAATAATCTTCAAATGAAAAACTCAAAAAAATTCTAACTTTGATGGTAAAGTTTTAATCATTCTATTGATATTATACACAATATGTGTAAATCAAAATAACTTGGTGTTTCCTGTTAATGTTACATAGTTTTTAAAGTCTGACAACATTTGCAGGGTAGTGCGTCCATGCCTATTGACATCAGTAAGGCCTAATAAATCTTAACATTTTACAATTCCAGTCCATTTTTTTTTCACTCTCCATCTTATATCTAATTTACAGGATGTTTTCTGTGTCATTTATAACTGTTTGTTATTACAGCTTGATGTTATGTTTTAGATGTTCTGCTTTTTGATCAGTCCCCTTCTCCCTTATCATCATCTGAAAATCAAAAAAGAATTTATAAATAAATTCAATTATTATCAAGGATAAAAAGCTCATCTTGTCTATTTATACTTACAGTAAAATATCTTTACAATGAACCAGAAGTGATGTTCGAAATTAGATCACTATCACTACTGTATGCATTGACCATTAAAATGGCTCTTCAAACTTGCCATAAAAAA